TTTGTTTTTGTGTATGTGTAGCTGTCTCTCAAACCTAATCACAACAGTGCTCTTTTTTCAGTTGTAAAGTCCTGCCTGTTGTTGTGTGATGTCAGGTTGATTCTGACTGATAGTTACCCTATATAATAAGGTGAAACTGTCATTTGGGACAGTTATGGAAGAAGATTAGGTCTTTCCATTCACAGAGTGTGATCTGTGGATTCAAAGTACTAAGCTTTCAGTTAACAGACAGATGTTTAACCAATTGTATCACCGCAGCATCTTGCTTACTGACTCTATATGTAGTACATATTCCTCTCTGGAAACAACTAAGTATTATCCCTTGGAAGTTCTTTCATCTTCTCCTCTTCTCCTAATGGAAAATGCTAATTTGTATTTTCATGACCTGCATCATCTGGAACTCATCTGTGGTCATGCTTCCATGATCAATTCTACCAGAAGGAAGTAAAATATAGGTCTCCTGCATGGAAAGCAAGAATTCTACCCTTGAGACCACTCCCCTCAACAGAATTAGCTGCCAGTAATCCCAAAGGCATGCAGTTTGAGGCCACCAGCTGCTCCACGGGAGAAGGATGGGCAATCTTCACCCATGCAATTTACTGTCTCTGAAAACCCACCAAAGGGTCAACTATGGGTTGGTCCCGACTCTATGGTACACAATAACAACAACAACAACGACAACAAATGCTAGTAAAGGTGAGCTCTGGTGGCCTACTGGTAAAAACCTGTGCTGCTATCCTGATGGCAGGTGGCTGAAATCCAACAACAGCTCCACAGGAGAAGGATGTGAAATCTCCTCCCTTGCCATTAACTGCCTCTGATAACCTGCTGGAGAGTCAGCTGTGGGTTGGTTCCAACTTGAAGGCGCACAGGAACAGAAACAATGCTGTTAACTGTCAATATTATAAAGTCTGACTCTTCAATAAACAGCAAGATGTTTACTTTAGGTACAGTGTCTTTCTAACCACTGCTACTCTAATCCAAATCGATATGCTCAATAATAATTATATTTAGACTGTATCAATCTACTTATAAAACTACACACAATACTACTGAACATTACTCTGATGAATCTTTTTTATTTATACATGGAAGCTAATCCTATCTTAAATCACTTTCAAAATTTGTCTCCAAATATTGGGTTTCCAAATATATACAGTTTGACATTATGTCAATGGACTTACTCAATTTCTGTTATCTATGTATGTGCTTAGCACACAATATGTGTGCTGAGCAAAGAATTGGAGAAAGTGGATCATATGAAGAAGATTGCATCATCACTATTGGATGCCTCAACATTGCTTGCTGAGAATGAAGAAAATGTGAGCTATCAATGACACTCAATGGTGACAACTTCGGCATGGATTATACCTCAACATAAATATACAAAAAAAAATCACAACTGGCTCAATAAGTAATATCATATTAAGCAAAGTAATTATTTCAGTTGTCAAAGATGGAAACAGCAGTCAATTTTATAGTGCATTGAATTAATTGGGCAAATGTGCTGCAAGAGGCCCCTTTAAATCATTAAAAGGGGGTAGAGTGCACTAAATTACAGTATTTTGAATCACATTCTATGCATGAGACAGCTGTAGAATTGCTAAGAAAGACCAAAGAATAGTCATTGCTTTGAATGAACAGTATTAGCAAGGAATATTGACTACATCATGGATTGCCAAAAGAACAACTACATCTGTCTTGAAAGAAATGCAGCCAGAATACTTCTTAGAGGATGAGGAAACTGTCTCACATCCTTCAATCATGTTATCAGGAAGGGAAAGGCATCATGCTTGGGTCAGCAAAAAAGAGGCCCACCCTTTACGCGAGGCACGGACACTGGCTGCAGCAAGGTGTTGTAAGCACAGCAGCCACAGAGAGCACAGCACAGTGACTGGGTGCTCATTTCTTCTGCTCCAAACACAGTCGCTCAAGTCAGGACCAATTCGATGGTGCCTAACAACATGTTAACTACTCCTTCTTAAGTGCTCTCTGAGTGTGTTCTGGTAGACTCATGGAAAAAAAGCTGAACTGCAATTCCAAAGGCCAGATCAAATTCAAATCAGCCAGATGCTCCATGGAAGAAGGATGGTCAATCTCTTCCTGTGCAATTACTGCCTTTAAAAACCCAGTGCAGGGTCAGCTATGGGTTGGTTCCGACTCAAGGGCACACAACAACAAAATCTAATGGCAGGCCTTATGCCAAGGTTTACAGAAGAGGACGCTCATAATACTAAAATAAATCAATTGGGAAAGGCTGTTGTCAGCGACATATCCAGAGTACTGAAGAGCAACGATGCCAGTCTGAAGACTAAGGTGCATCTGATCCAGGCCACGGTCTTCGCAATGCATCAGAAAGCATTGTCTTGCTATGTATCAGAAAGCTGGACAAGACTAGGAGAACTGATGCATTTGAGCTGTGGTGTTGTAGAAGAGTATTGAATATACATATACCATGGGCTGCTAAGAGAACAAACAGGTTCATCCTGGAGAGGGTGAAATCAGGCTGCTCCTTGGAGGCACAGATTCTAAAGCTTCATCTGACATACTTTAGCATGCTGCAAGAAAGGTCCAGTTCTTGGAGAGGGAAATCATGCTTGGGAGGGTGGAGGGACAGTGCAAGAGAGGAAAAACCCTCAATGAGATGGACTGACTCAGTGACTAGGGTAGAGGGGTTAGTTGGCTCAGGATAGAGCAGGGTTCAGAGCTATTATACATAGGGTAGCTATGAGTTCCAGGCAACTTGATGGCACATAACAACAACAAATAATTCACATTCCAAAGCCTCTACTCCTTCCATAGTCTTGCAGGGCCACCCACATTATCTAACGTCTTCCTCCTTCTAAAATGCACTGTGGTAAATATATATATATATGTATGTATATGTATGTATATATATATATATATATATATATATATATATATATATGTATATATTACACAAAATTTGCTATTTTATTACTTTTCAAGTGTACCATTCAGTGGCATTAATTATATTCAGTGCTGTGCAGCCTTCACCACTACTTCTAAAATAAACAAACATTCTATACTAATTAGACAATAGCTCTCCATTCTCTTTCCCTGAAGCCCCAGTTAACCTCTAGTCTACTTTCTGCCAGTACTAATTTGCCTAAATATGTATTTCATATAAATGAAGTCCTTTTATGTTTCTCCTTTTGTGGGTGAAGAATTTCATTTAGCATAATTTTTCAAGATTAAAGTATACTATAATATATACCAGAACTTCATTCCTTTCTGTGGATAAATAATATCCCACTGTGTGTTTATATCCCATATACTGTCTATCAAAGAACATTTGCACTGTTTCTATTCCTTGACTAGTGTGAACAGCTTCAATGGGATCTAAGTGTTAGTTTGAGTCTCCATTTTAATATTTTCTGAGTGTTTATCTAGGAGTAAATTGGTGGACCACATGGCTGTCCCACGCTTATTTTTTGCAAATATCGCTGAACTGTTTTCCACAGTTGTTATTATTGTGTACCATCAAGTCAGATCTGAGTCATAGGTGACCCTCCAGAGAGTTTTCAGAAGTAGTAAATCGCGTGGGTAAAGACGGCCCATTTTCTCCCACGAAGCAGCTAGTGGATTCAAACCATACACCTTCGAGCTGGCAATGCAACTCGTTACCACTAAGCCATTATAGCTCTTTTTCCACAGTTTTACAATCCCATCAACAATGCAAAAGGGTTCCAATATCTCCACACTCTCACCAACACCATCATTTTCTGTTTTCACGATAATGCTGTTGTTGTTAAATGCCGTTCGAGTTGCAGGCGACTAATAGCGACCCTATGAAGCAGAATCCTCGACGCTTGGGTGCCTTTCATCCTCTCTCCAGGTTCATAGGGTTTCAAGCTATTATGGAAGTGGATGCCACTCCTCCTTCCAATTTCATGATAATAGCTATCCTGAAATAGTGAATATATAATCCACAGGGAATTTCACTGCTAACCCAAAAGCCCAGGTTCTCTGGCAGTTCAGATTTACCAGATGTAAGAGGGACAAGTAACCTCTCACGCAACATACAGCCTCCAATAATCCTGTAGGAGGTCAGCTATGAGTTGGTTTGACTTGAGGGCGGTAAATTTGAGGTATTTTTAAGGATAACAATGGAAGTGAAGTGGTATCCTGGATTTTCATTAGAGGTAATATCTATGTTAGGTACACAGCAAGGACTCATTAAGTGCTGATTACACTTTTACTCTGAGTCTCTAGCCTCAGAGAGCCTCATTATTTAAAACAGGGTGAGGCCTCACTCACTCAATTATTCACTCACATTCATTCATTTCTATCAAGTCAGAATTCTCATAACTGCCCCTCCAGTGCATTTTTAGAGGCTGTAAATCAAATGAGAGGAGAGTTCTTATTCCATGGAGAAGCTGGTGGATGCCAACCACCAGCAGTAAGGTTAGTAGTCAGCATAACCTTGTAAGAACTTGGTCACAAAACCTCCCTGGGGTGAGGCCTGTTATTGTTGTTATTATTATTGTTGTGTGCCTTCAAGTTGGAACCAACCCATAACTTACCCTCCCGCAAGTTTTCAGAGGCAGTAAATCGCACAAGAGGAGATTGTCCATCCTTGTCCCGTGGAGCATCTGAGGGTGTAAACTGTGTGCCTCTGGGATTGCAGCACAGCTTCTTGCCACTACGGTGCCAGAGCTCCCTAGGGTGATGCCTAAGCATCAGTATTTTTAAAAACCTCCCAGGCAATTCTAATGTTCGTTTAGGGCTCTGCCTTCATTCGATACTGTTCTTTCAGGAGATTATAATATTTATAATTAAACTCAGGTTTCAGCTTTATTTGAATAACTTACCAAAACCCACTGGAATTTCCTTTCATTTCCTTTCTAAACTGTTTCTCTCAGATATAATTAACAAAAACCACAGACACACAGGTTCTCTCCCTCACAACACAATTTATGAAACTGAACACGATGTGAGGGAAGAATGCAATCTCAGGCTCGCCGTCAGGAACTCACCCGATGTCTGCAAAAGTGCTTATTGGCACCTTCAGGAGACGTGCTATGTCCTCTATCAACTTCTTCCCCTTTTCCAGGCTCAGAGGGCTGTTGAAGGATAGGCAAAGAAGAGGGAGGAGGAGAGAGAGCGTTACAAAATGGAACTCATCAATACTTGAGAAGCTAAAAGTCCCCAAAGAGTTATCACCTTGGCCTCTGAGTATCTGAAAGCCAACCCTGCTCACTGTATTCCTGTCACATAGTGATCATGCTACCAAGGGAATTGGGATCAGGTGCTTCTTCAGGCATGATGAATCACCTGAATTTTCCAGCAATAAGACAAACAATAAGGTGCAAATGGAATTGTTAGGAAGTGTAATGGGCCCATGATGCAGCAACTGGCTTATCTCAACCTTCAATAAAAAATATAATAGAGGGTGGGAGGGAAGAGAGAAAAGAAAGAAGAAGCAGCAGCAAAAAAAAAAAAAACCCAAACAAAACAAAACAAAAAAAGAGGGATGCCAGCGAGGGAAGCAAATGCTGAGAACAAATTGCAGGATGGGGTGTCAAAAGGACAGAGGCAATATACATATTCCAAAACAGAGTCATTTCTAAAATGAATCTATCTTTATGGGTGGATATTTAAACATTACATGTTTAAAGGTAAATAATGAAACACAATGGATAAGTTCACTTTAGTAATTCATTAAAAAGGAAAATAAATGTTCTATGGTGACGGCATGGCCTAACACATTCCCCAGCTGCCAGGCCATGTTTACATAAAGAGAGCTGTTTTATTAAGAGGTGCTGAGGAGTAATCAGGTATAATTTGAAGTTCCAATTACAAGTCCTGCAAGCTAGTAGTTAGTTTCACAAATTACAAGTTGCTTTGCTTATGAAAGCCCATTAGTATCACTTCAAAGAATTATTCCAACTATATTCTTATATCAAAACGATATTATATTGCAAATCTTTTCAATCAAGCTGACCATTCATTCTTCAAGAATTACTTAGGTACCAGGCACTGCTTAGTTTAGGGAATTAAGTAATGTACAAATAGACCAAGGCCTCAATTGCCTGGAGCTTACATTTGAGTGGGAGAAGATAAACAATAAAGTCATTGACAAGTAAAGATAAATTATGTCAATCAGTAATAGTTTCTATAGGAGAAACTATAGGATAAAATTTCAGTAGGGTAAGGGACAAACAGAATGAAAGGCAGTACAACACTTTTCTAACATGTGGTTGGATAAAGTCTCTCCCATAAGGTAATAATGATAATTTAAAAACAAAACTCATTGCCGCTGAGTTGACATCTACTCGCAGGTGATCCTCAAGTGGGTTTGCGGAGACAGTAAACTGGCTCGGAGGAGACTGACCATCTTCCTCCTGCAGAGCAGCTGATGGATTCAAACCTCCCACTTTTGTGTTGGCAGTGCAACTCTCTATCCACTAGGCCACAAGAACAGAGTCATGAGTTAGAAGTATGTGGGAACACAGTATTACAGACAAGGAGAACAGGAACACGCAGAGGCACTGAAAACAGAAGTGTCTCCAGTGGCTTTAAAACACTAGAGGTGGCCAACATGGTCAGCATAGAATAGGCTGGGGGGTGGGGGTGTGTGGAAGAGAAGACGTTAGGGATTAAAGAGGAGGAGATGATTGTTCTTGTGTGCCTTCAAGTCAGAGCTAGCTCATAGATGAGCCTGGAATGGATTTTCAGAGGCTGTAAACTTCATGGAAGGAGACTGCCCATCTTCCTACTGAAGAGTATCAGGTGGATTTGAACAACGTGCTTGGGGTTTGTAGCACAGCTCTGTACTATCAGTGCTCCACTGTTGTTGTTGCTGTTTCTATGTGTTGCAGGTCGCCTGAGACATATAGTGACCCTCTTATGCACAACAGCTCTGAATTTTGCCCTATCCTGAGCCAGTCTCACTATCTCCAACAAAGCTACCCTCATTATCCCAGTTACTCTGTCAATCCATCTCACCCAGGGGCTTCTTCTCCTGTGTGGTCCCTGAACCCTTCCAAGCATGATGTCCTTCTCCAAGGACTGGTCCCTCCTGTTAACATGCCCAAAGTATGTCAGATGGAGCTTCAAAATCCTTGCTCTCAAGGAGAAACTTGGTTTCACCCTCTCCAGGCCAGACCTCTTATTCTCTTGGCAGTCCATGGTATGTCCAATACACTTCTCCAGCACCACAACTCAAAGACATCCATCCTTTTGTCATCTTTAGTCATTGCCTAGCTCTTTGATGCATAGGAAGTAATTGTGCAGACCATGGCCTGGATCACGTGCACCTTAGTCTCTAGGCTGATACTGTTGCTCTTTAGCACTCTGGTGAGGTTTCTGACAGCAGATTTTCCTAATGCAATTCAGCTTTTGATTTCCTGACTGGTGGTGCCAAGGATACTGACTGTAGAACTGAATGAGTTGAAATTGTTAACAACTTCAGTCTCTTCTCCATCTAGCATGGTGAAAAATCCTGCTGAAGATCATAAAAAAATATAAAATACTGAAACAGTAAATTGACAAACCCTAGCGGGAATAATAGCTGGGTTTAGAAGAATCTGTGTCACTAGGGACATTATAACTAATGTCAGATGGATATTAGCTAAAAGTAGAGAGTGTCAGAAGAATCTGTTTTTCACTGACTATGCAAAGGCATTTTACTGTGTGGTATTTTACATTTAGCAAATTGTGGCTAACATTGAGAAGAATGAGAATCCCAGATCACTTGATTGTGTTCATGCGAAATCTACACTAGGACTAGGAAGCAGTCATCAGAAGACAGCACAGAAATGCTGCTTGGTTCATAATCAAAAGGAGTGCATCAGGAATGTATCATGTCTCCTACTTTTTAATCTATATGTGGAACAGATAGTTTGGGAGGCTGGTCTTTATGAGAAATAATGCGGCATCAGGACTGGAAGAAGACTCATCAACAATCTGTGTTATGCACATGACACAGCCTTGCTTGCTGAAACCGAGAAAGACCTAAAGGATTTGCTACAAAAGGTCAAGTATTATAGTCTTCAATGTGGATTAAAGAGCTCTATAGTGTAGGGCTTGTCATTCTGGAGATGAGAGTGTGCCTGATTCAGGTCATGGTCTTCAGTTATGCATAAGAAATTAGTTGCTATGCATCAGAAAGCTGGACAATGACTAGGTATGATAGAAGGAGAATTGATGCCTTGGAGTTTTGGTGCTGGAGAAGAGTAATGCATATACCACGCACTGCTAGGAGAAGAAACGGCTTATCTTGGAGAGGATGAAATCAGGCTGTTTCCTGAAGGCAAGGATTCTGAAACTCTGTCTGACATACTTCGGGCATGTTTCAAGGTGGGAGCAGTCCTTAGAGAGGGACATTATGCTTGAGAGGGTGGAGGGACAGCGTAAGAGAGAAAGACCTTCAATGAGATGGATAGACTCAGTGACTGGGGTAATAGGGGTAGGTATGTCAGAGACAATAAGTTTGGCTTAGGATAGACCAGGGTTCAGAGGTACATAGAGTTGATATGAGTCACAAACGACTTGGCAGAACAATAACATAATAACAATAACAACAACAAAGACTTTTCAATACTTGGATTTTATTGAGTGAGATGGACAGCTCTGGGGATTTTGAAGGGGTTAGGCTGGGTTTTCCAGTTAAACAAAATCAAAGTGGCAATAGAGAAAACAGAGGGACCATTGTAATAGTCCAGGTGAAATGCTGTGAGGCTGCATTATAAGTGGCAGGAGAGGTCATGAGATTCAGTCAGATTTAGGATACATTATTAAAGTAGGGCTGACAGGATTTTCTGATAAATAAACAATATGAGAGACAGGGAAGGCAGAAGTCTAGGTGGAGTGGTGCTGACAGTGAATTAGGAATTCTGTTTTGGACACATAGAGATCAGAATTAGAGACCCAAGTTAAGCCAATGGGTAGACCGACAAATGAGCTTGGTTTCCAGAAGAGTGGATAGGGAGTCAGGCCTATGGATGCAACTTGAAGCCAGACAGTCTGAGGAACCCTGAGACCTCCCATTGTTTAGGTCAGGCCAGCGAGGAAGATCTAGCAAGGTGAGAAGAGAAGCATCCATTAAGGCAGGAAATGAACCACGACTGAGCTACAAGGAGAGATGGATCAAACAGAAGTGAAAAAAGATGAGCACTGAGAACTAATAATTGGATTTCAAAGTGTGCAGGTCACTGATGAGGTGCTCTGGTGGCGAAGAGGATCAAGCATGGGGTTGTCATCCAAAAGGTTTGAGCACACCAGCCTTCTGCAGTGGATGTATGAAACAAGCTGTTCTTATCAAGATTCAGGGCCTTAGACACCCTCCAGGGTAGGTCTGCTTTGTCCTAGAGTCAGTATGTGTTGGAATCAGCTCAGTAAAGGTTTTTGTTTATTCTCTTCCTCTTTTTAGGTTACTGATAAATTTGGCAAGGACTGCTTTGGTGAAGCATCAGGGACACAAACTTGACTGCAGCATATTCCATGAGAAACAAACATACAAACAAAGATGTAGGCCACTCTTTCAAGGGCTTTCGCCGAAGAAAGGAGCAAGGAAAAATGATAGTAGTTACAGTAGAAGACTTTTTTTTCAATTTTTAAAGTTTTTTTATATTGGTTTATTTACAAAGTTTGAATACATTGTTTTTCACACCAGATCTTTCCCATTTCCTTCACATAAACCCCATCAAATGGTATGGCCCTATGATTAACTCCCCCAGTCCCTTTTAAAATTTAAGCTGGGAGACATGAAGTCTGATGGCGACTGCTCAAGCAATAATGTTGTTATGGAAAAATGAGAGGAGAAACACTACCATGATATTTTTTTTAACTTTTATTATTTTTTAATGTATACCATCAAATTAGATCCGACTTGTATAGGAGGAGATTGTCCCTCCTTCTCCATCTGGTGGATTTGAACCATGCACCTCTGGGATTGCAGAGCAGTTTCTTGCCACTAGGCCACCAGAACTTGCCTGAAAGATCCGATTTACATGTAAAGGTATGGGCCCTAAGTAGAAGCATGGACTTTGCCCATGGAAACAGAGAAGTAAAGCATGCATGAGAACACAGGTTGATGGTGATCAAGAGAACTGGACGAACA